TTAATGAAATCTGTTCATTAAAACAATGAAATATGTTCATTAAAACAATGAAATCTGTTCATTAAAACAATGAAATCTATTCATTAAAACAATGAAATCTGTTCATTAAAACAATAAAATCTATTCATTAAAACAATGAAATCTGTTCATTAAAACAATGAAATCTGTTCATTAAAACAATGAAATATGTTCATTAAAACAATGAAATCTGTTCATTAAAACAATGAAATCTGTTCATTAAAACAATGAAATATGTTCATTAAAACAATGACTCCGTACATAACAACAATGAAGCAGTATTCGTTAAACTAATGTTTGAGTTCATTGTACCAATGAATGCGTTTATCAAATCAATGAACTTAAGTTTCATAGAGTTAATGAATTACTTTTCATTGTGCCAATGAAATCGTTCATCGGCTCAAAATTAATAATTTAATTCATTAATACAATAAAACTTTTCATTGTATTTATGTAGACTTTTGGTTCAGTGTAACTCAAGAAAGGGGAACACACAATAGATCTGTAAGGTCGCGGTGATTAACTCCCCTTCTAAACATTCTACATTCTTCTACATCCTTTAACTGACTCTTTCTTTTCAGTATGGCTAATATCACCAATAATATGGCAATTCTTTGTCAGTATGGCTAATACCACATCATCAGATCAGATTTTGGTAAAGAATAAGTTATTCAATATAGTTAATGACGTCGAAATAAGGTTATTGAATGAAAGTACTGCCACAACCGAATCAAGCATTTCTCCAGGTGTCTACGACCAGTAGAGGCGTTTTTTGTCTCCAAGCAGCATTCCGTCCAATACGCAGACAACCGAACAAAACATTACTCCAGGTGTCTACGACCAACAGTGATCTGTTTGGTCCCGAAACTGCGATCCATCCAGCATGCAAGGAAATCTAGAAGGATCTGATCCGTTTGCAAAATCCTTCCAAACTTTATCTTCAGGCAGCGCCAGTTCCACCGCACATCAGTTTTTTTTAGATTGTAAGACTGTTTGTTAATGCCTTTTTTTGCTAGCCCTTGCATACCTACTGGTAAAACCGGCGATGCCGTTAACTTCCTTTTCATTAATAAACATTATTAGATTTTCTTAAGAATAATTTTTATTTTTTGGCCTTATCAGACCCCACTGTTCTTAGAATTACCTCCAACACATCGTTATAATAATTATTGAAACAACAAATAAAAATCTATTACAGTACAATCTCAATAATATGAGCACAAAAAATCCATTCATATTACTGAAAATGTTCATATTATTGAGTAATCCATATCAGTGAGTGTTTATATTATTGCGATTATACTGTACTTAAAATATCAATTTTCAAAATCATGCATACCTTAAACAGACTGCCAATCTTTCCTCTGGTCCTATAGATTCTCTAAATGGTGTATTTTGTCGAAATAAACTTTGTCTTAAAATATTTAAAAGTGCTTCAAATCTAACGTGCGACATTCGAAAATATTCAAAGAACTTTCTTTCATCTAGAATTAAATCACAAAATAAACTGTGATATTCCCCAATCTTGGTCTTCTTATATTAATATTATGCACTCAACATTTCTTTCTTTTTCGTTCGTTCGCTTCTTCTTCTGACAACACGCAAATAATTATAACATCTTTTTCGTTCAATAGCGACATAACGCTTTTGCTTCAACACCACTTTGCTAACTGCGGAGAGCGAGAGATGCTGATACCGACTCCAATATTCCGTGGTAGTAAACGTAGGATCCACAAAACATCCGCTTTTCCCAATGCGTACCGCGTTCCGCGTCCGTCCGACGCCGATTAGTGAACCCGTACCTTAATTGTGGCATAAACTTTCACATTTTTTTCATTTAGGACAGACAGTTAAAAAACTAAATCAATTAGATAAATATTATGTCTTAATGTTTAATGAAATTTCACTATTTCCTGGTTCCACAATCCTTCCAAAGATTATATTGATGGTTTAGTTGTTTTTGTTGGTTTAGATAAACGAGTAATCTTTGCCGATCATGCTTTAGTTTCTATGCTAAAAGGTATTCATAAAAAATGGAAACAGCCAATTTATTTTTATTTCTGAGAGCGCTACTATAATTGTAGATTTAGCTAGGATTGTTAAGGATGTGGTAAGACGTGTTCGTCAGACAGGTTTAAAAATTATTTCAACTATTTGTGACCAAGAGACAACCAATGTTGCACCTATAAACTATCTCAAAAATGATACCAATGCTTACACGTGTTAGAAATAGTATTAGGAATGGATATAATAGACACCTTGTTGATGAATTGGAAATAATTCATATCTATGATTGCTCTCATTTAATGAGGTGTTACAAATGGATTACTTACAAAAAAAATTGTTCAAGGGCGCTTGGCATCCCCGAAGTTCCCGTATTTTGGTTAACTAAATGAAATAAAAAAGTTGAATGCTTCTAGCCCCCCATGAAAACGGTTTTTCTAAAAGATAAGTAATTTCACACAATAAGGACCGTTTTGTTTTCATTGGATTACCCGATATGTTGTCAAGAGTATTATGAGCCGCATGTAACGTGTGTGCCTGACTTTACTGAAAGGTTTCCTAACCTAACCAAAATTCTAACCTAACCAAAAAACCTAGAATTGAACTAAATTTAGATTTGAAGATCAGATGCCTAAGTGCAGCCAACTCCGCTTTCGCTTCATTGTTTGTACAATTCAAGATCCCAAATCTTGGCATGCTAAACTTTGATGTATCATCCCAGCTCTCTAATATTTTATTCTCCACACATAGCATATTAAGGCAAGAAGTAAATACCACTGGTGGGAGCTTAAGACAAAAGCAAGTAAAACAGGGTTCAAAATCACCTCTAAAGGGATAGACAATGCCATGAATGTTGAAACTGCAACCAATATTGTGAGAACCACTTTCCAGAAACATGGGTTAGAGTACAAGAAATTTCCTATGGGAGATCCCTCTAATTGGTTTGGCACGATGGGTCCTGATCTTAACTTCATTACCGGATACGGGTTGCGTTAGAAAGAATTAAGACTCGGACATGCTCAAATGTCAGTGGGTAAAGAAGAGCGAAGAACTAAAACATTTATGGTTGAGAGGTATGGAGTACACGGAGGCTAACACATCCTCTTAGAAGGTTGCACATTTCCACCAGAGAAAAGATCCTCGATAGAACAGTCTTTAGGGTCGATGACCATTCTGTTCCAGTATCTTAGGACTACAAGAAAATATGAAGACGATAAGGAATAATTAATTTTTAATGACAGAATTATTCAATAAATTATGTGCACAATTATTATTTCACTAATTATATCATTTTGACTTTCATTTGTTTTTGTCGTAGGCACTAATATTGCAGCATCCCTCTTTTTTATTCCATGTCGCTAGTCTACAACGCAGTAACTCCCAAATTTTTACAATACTGCAAAACTGACTAGCACCAAAACAAATTTTGAATTCCATATACTACACTAAAACGCAGTAACAGCCTATTTTTGATTAAATTATTTGATTAAATCAATTTCTAATATCAGAGTAGTTAGAAAAAGTGATCATCCATTATTATACTTAGTCGTAGAATTTTACATGTTTGTTTACCTGCTCGCCCAGGAAAAAAACTTTAAAAGGTTATTAACTCAATATCAATAAAGTCGAGATACTGCTTTGTTAGTTAGGAGGGCAGTATACACATTTCACTAATAAGTTACAAACAAATTTCCATGTCGCAAAACAATTAGGGGCGGATTTCAATAATGACAAAAAAAATTTTCGCACGAAAAAAAAACAAAAAAATCAGTTTTTGTTAACTTTAGATCCATATCACACGATAAAGCTTGTTATGCATTGTATGGCTTTTGTAGATGGTCTTAGGGATATTAACCCTAGAACCACAAGGTGGGGTTGCCGGCGACCCTGGCACATATATTTTTAGACCTGCGCGCTGTTGTTTTGGAACTACAGAGGTGCGCTTGTCTACCTTCAGTACTGATTGATGCTCGAGAGTGTATGTGTGCGTTTTTAAATTAGTCCACTTTTAGTTGAATTTGCACGTGTTTTTTTTTCAGATTTTGACCCCACCTTGTGATTATCGCAGCAAGTTTTGTGTAAGTAAGTTTGTTTAATATTATTCTTAAATTGGCTTATCGAGTTTTTTTGTTAATTAGAATATCAATATGGACCCAAACAAACGTTCTCTAACTAAAGAAGAACTGTGGAAAGCTCTCTATGAAAGTGATAGTCATATAGAAGCAAACTGTCTAGATGTAAGTTGCAGTGAAGATGAGGACAATTTATTACCGGACGATCATATTGAAGACGAATTTGATCCAAGAGAATCGCAAAATGAGGCTGATGGAGATGTTAGTCGATAATTATTATCAAAACGCTATGGAAATGGATGTCCAACAACACGACCGCGACCTTCCGAAGTTATTGGGCAAAAATAATTATGTTTGGTTCGCTCAACCTTTGATTTCCAAGCGGAGAAGAGCTTCAAAAAAGAATATTGTCCTTGATCTACCTGGTCCAAAGGGAGAAGCTAAAACTAAAAATAGTATTAAAGAATTTTGGCACCTTTTTTTTCCTGAAGAACTTATTGAAATAATTTTAGTTAACACAAATAAAAAAATTGAGGTTCCTAAAGCAAAATTCACCGCTGATCAATATTACACACAAGAAACAGACACAACTGAGCTTCTAGCGTTGTTTGGATTACTCTATTTTGCTGGTGTTTTGAAAAACGTCCATCTTTCTTTAACAGATATGTGGTCTGAAAAATTCGATATTGCGATTTTTAGATGTACCATGTCAAAAAACCGCTTCGAATTTTTAATAAATTGTTTACGTTTCGATGATAAAACCACTCGTCCAGAGCGTAAAGCTCTAGATAAATTTGCTCCTATAAGAGAAATATGGGACATATTTATTCAAGGTTGTCAGAATAATTATACTCCTTCAGAGTATTTAACTATAGATAACTGCTCAGAGGAAGATGCCCCTTCAAAATGTATATTCCCAGCAAGCCTGACAAGTATGGTATGAAAGTGATAATGGTGTGCGATGCCAAAACAACGTACATGTGCTCTGCTGTGCCCTATATTGGAAAAGAGCAGCGAGATCCGCAGAATGGGTCAATTCCAACGCAATATGTATTGAAACTGACGGAAAATATTCAGGGTACAAATCGCAATATAACCATGGACAATTGGTTTACCTCGTGTGAATTGACTGAAAAACTACTGGAAAAGGGTTTAACGATGGTTGGAACCCTTCGCAAAAATAAAAGGGAAATACCACCTCAATGTCTGGAAACGAAGCATTCCCAAATTCCGTCATCAGCCTTTGCATTTACTCTTAAAAAGTTGACCCTTGTTTCACATGTCCCAAAACGAAACAAATGCGTTATCCTAATACGTTCCATGCATTCTCACGATAATGTTGACCAAGCTACGAGTAAACCGGAATAATCTTGTTCTATAATAGTACAAAAGCAGGTGTTGATACTTTCGATCAGCTTTGCCATTCAAAGACAGTTGCTAGAAAGACAAGAAGATGGCCACTAAGATATTTTTATGGTATGTTAGATGGGGGAGCAATAAATGCAATGATTTTGTATAAACACAAACATTTTAATGAAATATTTTCCCGATCTACATTTATAAAGTCTTTAGCTGATTTACTATTAAAGGATCACATGAAACAAAGAGCAGCTAATCCCAAACTTTCGAAAAAGTTAAGGCAATCTATTCAAAATTACTTAGGATATCCAGACGAACAACAACCGGTAGCAAATATTCAGAAAGGGCCTCGCCGATGTGATTTCTATCCAAGAAAACGCGATAGAAAAGGGTCTCATGTTTGTGTTCATTGTGCCAAAAATATGTGTGCAGAACATCAGTTCAGCATTTGTGAAGACTGTAAATACTAAACTAATACCCGTTTGTATTTTAGTTTTCTTTTTTTTTAAATATGTGTTAGTTTATGAAGGATACTACAAAAAATTAAACTTTTTTTTTCATCCACCCTGTATACTTTTGTCTTTTTGTTTTAGTTCTCATCTATATTTTATGTTACAAAATAAATGAACTTAACATATTTAGCTTAAAAATTGTTATCACCTTGTTTTTTCTTTACGAAATAAAATACAATAAAATGGGTCGCCCGCGACCCCACCTTGTGGAATTTTTTCTTTTTTTTTTCACCTTGTGGTTCTAGGATTAATGAGTGAAATTAAATGGGACTATATTGAGAAATTAGCAAGTAAACAGCAAAGTTGAGGGTTACATGTGTCTAATAAATTAACTAATGGGTACTCACTGGAAAAGGAAAAATATGAAAGTAAGGACCTTTTGACACGGGACTTAAATTTAAGAACTGAAGCTGCTGAATTTGGTTGAACATCATATAAAAAAACAAGATACTTTTATGCGTGACTGTTTATCTGCTAGAAGCAAGTAAGTCCAAACAATATTTCAATAATTTTCATTGCTAATAAGAATTTACCCTTTATATATCTTAATTTCAGACTTGAAACAACTCTTCGTTTTCTAGCAACTGGGGAATCTTATAGATCCCTGATGTACAGCACACGTATTCATGAATCAACCATATCCAGATTTGTACCAGAAGTGTGTCATGCTATATACAGGGTGTCCCAGAAATGAGTGCAGATATTTTAAGAGGTGGTAGATCTGGTGAAAATAAACATATTTTCTCTTTACCATTTTTAAAATAAATTGAAAATAACTGAGTTATTTAACTTTGAAAATTTAAAAAAATAATCGCAACATTTTGAGAACCGCCGGCAGGTATTGCCAACTACATCCAATTACCCGGATCAAGCCCGGATTTCAGTTAATTCGACGCACTGTGTTGCCATATGGACAAGGTATTTCACTGGAAAAAAAACTAATTAATAACAATAAACAAAAAAATAGATATTGGGCGCCAGGCATGTACAGAGAAAGAAAAACACAGTTGTATATTACTTAAAACTAATGGCTATATTTATTCATGATGAATTCTGATGGTAAATAGCATTGTACAATTTTAATAATTATTATAGTGGTTAAATACTATTACAAGGCGTAATGTAATGAAACCTAAGATCTAAATCATATTGTAACTACTAAATCGACATAAATGTTCTTAATAATCTAACCACTAAATATAGTCTGTACGATATTATTCAAAATGTACGTTATTAAGCTAAGACTGAAAATTGACTGAAAATCAGAACCTAAATCTACACTTAGCTGTTCTTGAGGCAATCCTGTTTCGAAGAGTAACAGCGTGAGGTGGTCTCGCATCTCTGCACTCGGCCATCAATACAACAAAAGGGGCCAGAATGAGGACACCATGAATTGATACAGCCGTAACTACTAACTGGCTTATAGATGGGAACGAAGCAGCATGGGGCTCAAGCTACATCCACGCTGGGGCACTTTATATGTAAGATAAATCACTCCTGCTGGGGACACTCGTCCACGGGACATCCGTCCATAAGATAATGGTACAAGGGAACACTACCCGTACCTTGGAACACTACTAGGACCTTGGATAATGCCTGTACCTTGGAGATCCGTACTGCAATTACCGTACCGTTTTAGGGTCCGTACCTTGGACCCTAAAAATACGAAACTCTTGTTTAAAATCAAACAAGGTCTAATAAACAAAATGAACCTACCTCGAATTACTTCCGAGGGCTCACTAAATAATAAAGAACATGTCCTTTCTTCCATGTGACATTCTGGAGGACAAAAGAAAAGGGATGCCAACGTGCCAGCAAAATACAAATACAAGTTAGGTTGGGACATCCAAAACTCTACCCTAAAATACGCAGTAATAATAACGAATCAAAAAGATAATATCTCATTTTTACCTGTAACTTCGAAATAGCAGCTGATTCAAATTATACAGCAAGATTTTTATAATTGCAGTTTCTCGAAGCAAGGATTTTTTTGACGGTGACAGTCGGACGGTCAAAGCCAAGTGAAGTTAAGCACGGAGAGAGTTAACAGAAGCGATGTTGACAGCGCTCCACAGAGCGATAACAGGGTTGTATCAAACGATAACAGGGTTGTGGACTAGAGAACGTAAAAATTACGCCAAGCGCGTTAATTAAATTATCCGGCCTGAACGATGGGGAATCCGGTGATGATACGCCAGACATCATATATCATATACAAAGACATGTAACGAACTAAAAACGTTACAAACTTAAAGTGCTCCAGCCAAAAAAAATGGACGTCAACATACATATACCAAATTTATAATTCCAAACTTTATGTATACCTATATGATGTAATATTACGTTTTCTGTTTTTGTAGACACCAGATCGAAAAGATTGGTTGAGTATAGCCGAAGAATTTGATGAATTATGGCAGTTTCCTAATTGCGTTGAAGCTTTAGATGGACGACATATAAAATTTAGAGCACCCATTTCAGCAGGATCTTACTATTACAATTATAAGGGTGATCACTCCATTGTTCTTTTAGCTATGGCAGATGCAAAATACAAATTCATTTACTGTAACGTAGGAGTAAACGGAAGGACAAGTGATTGTGGAGTTTTTAGAGAAAGTGGTTTGTTTAAAGCCATGTCTTCAGGGAATTTACTCTTTCCACTAAATAGACCACTGCCTGGACGAATGTTGGAAGTTCCGTATGTGATTGTGGCAGACGATGCTTTCCCCCTTTCTGCAAGAATAATGAAACCTTTTCCATGTCGTGGGTTAACATATGAACAAAAAGTTTTCAACTACAGGCTTTCCAGAGCTCGTCGAATTATCGAGAGTGCATTTGGAATTTTAGCAAATAGGTTCAAAATTCTTTTAAACCCTATTAATTTAAACGCAGAAAAAGTTGAAATTATTACTTTAGCATGTGTTGCTCTTCATAATTATCTGGCTACAGAAAATTGGAAAAATTACACAGAGATATCTCAAGATAAAATTATAGCAAATTTATTAGAAAAGCTTCCACAACAAGGAAGTAACAGAAGTGTAGGTCTGCACAATTAATACGAGAGGAATTTAAAAATTATTTATTTTTCTTCAAATTGGGAGTGAAGTTCGTTAACCGCTGGGACGTTTTCGTCCTCGGTGAGAAGAGTTGTCACGGTTTCTCGTTTGTCTTCAGCACTTTCCTCTACAACTTCCTGTATGGCGGAATGCGGTTGTTTGTGTGGTGCCACTTCTTCTTTTAAGGCTTGTAACTCTGCTTGGGAAAATACTTTTCTATTAAGAACCGATCTTATTTGGCCTGACAGTTGTTGAGATGTTTTTGGGTTGTGGGGGTAAGTATCGTTCCATATCCTAACTATTTGCGTCCTGTAACCTGTCATTTCGTTTTCGTTTTTCGTGGCAATAAAGTATGCACGTATGAGATTGATATTATCTTCTCTTGACCAGCGCATACGCCTGTTTCGTGTTTGTCGTCCATTAGCGGGGCTTCCTGTATGGTTGCCCAAGCTATCGGTTCGATTTTGATTTTCAAGTCCATCTTCAGGCCGGGCTTTTCCGGTTCGGAGGTGAGCGTCGCCCGTCTCACTCGTTCTTCCTAGGGGCTGGGACTGTCCGCTTGCAGGTGCTGCCCCCGCACCTTCAGCTTCCGAGGCTCGTTGTACTCTTCTCATTTTAAAATGGTATGCGCATTTTATACCTTCTGCCAGGTAGTATTTAGCCGCTCCTAACATGGAGTACAGACGCTATCGGACTACCGCTCCTTACATGGAGATCCGTCGTGTCCTATTATAATGTGTTGGTTAGTTACGGTCCACCCCGGGTATTTTATTTCCCCGGTACCACCCATATCTGGGAGGCATTCCCCTATCCGCCACCTGGGGAGGCACCTGGGAGAGGTCCAACACTACCCCTCCTGCAAGCAGGTTCCAGGCTTATTATTATTATTATTATAGTATTAACTTACCTCATCAGTTCCCATTCCGCTCTTTAATGAATTCACATATTTTCTGTGTTCAGATAGAAAGTTAGTACGAATATTGTTAAACTTGGATTTGATGTCTATTAGAGACACACATGGTCGAATCAGCTTCAATTCTGAATGAATTTGTTCGAGTGCACTATTTCTGGCATATTTGTTTTTGTATTCGATACTTTTTACTGCATATAAACAAGGGTGTTCCCTATAGAGCTCTATAAGCATTTTTACCTGCTGTGCAATTTGACTAAAAGTGCGCGCGCATCAAATTGTATACAATTTAAGCTGGAATATTGTCCCGTGTCAAACGGTCCTAAGACTGTTAAACCCAACTCAGCAAGAGTGTTGGTGATGCGATGACATTCTTAAAGAGTATTTGTAGTCTCCGGAGTTTCATGGTTTTGAACGGACTGTAACTTTTATTAAACAGTTAAGTGATATTTTTGACATATTAAATTCAAGAAATTCGTTTATTAATTCTTAACTAATTACTATATTCGTTTACCTCCGATTACCATTATATATCTCTACGATTTAGCTTACCAAAAAATAAATCGGTAGAGTTTTACACAACATAGTTTAATCAAACAACTATGTTCTCTAAATAACGAGTTCCATTCCTGATAAAGTAGTTAGCATCTATAATGCAGATTTAAGGAAATAACTTTAAATTATTGGCTACTAATTTGACCTTACACATAACTGCATTAAAATTAAAAAAAGCAAGAGGTATAAAAGAACTAATATACCTACCTGCAGTCTTAAGGCCGGTTTACATGCTAGGACTTGTACGTTTTGTCTGATAGGACAAATTTTATCATCTAAAGGCCGGTCCAGACACAACGTCTTATCGTACGACTTATCGCATCAGACAAGTCGTATCATAGGTTGGTTAATTCTTAAAATTGTAATATTTTATTGTTTCAGGTTGAATTAGAATATCAGAGTTTTTCTGCTACCCCATCGACCGGTCGGCCATCTACTCCGACTAGTGATACCGCTACCAGTGTCCTGCTACCTACGCCTACCCGCACATTAAATCGTAAAAAGAAAGCGGCATCAAAAAATAATGAAGCAGACGAAGTTATGCCTAAATTAATAAAAAACTGGAATCTTTGCAGGAAGATTCACACGACCGATTTGAAAAACATGTCGCGGATAGACTTAAAGCACTTCATCCGGATCAACTTAAGTTTGCAATGAAACTGATCTCTGATGTCTTATTTCAGGCAGATATATTGTCCTTAAATAGATATTCCAAAATTATGTCTGAAGACCGACGCCTTTCCCCCCAACAATCTCAGCGAGAAACCAGACAGCAACACTTTAACCAATATGCACCACCTTGTATCACCAATATTGAAGCAAATGGGCAAACTCCAAGTCAAAGATGGAATGAAGGGTATTACGCGGGGAATCAAGGGTATTACGCAGCAGAATTCGGTCAAAAACAGCATGACCAACAGCTACAACTAATTCATGATAAGAATAAGCCCACACCGGCGAAACCAGCTAAAACAAATTTTACTTTTTCTAATATTGCACAGAATCCGTGTTTCACGTCCTTCCATAATCAGCAGCAAACAATACATAGGAGCATCTGTTTGCCGGCACTATCAGCTACTCAATTTACACAATAGTCAAATCCAGAAGAACATCACTCACTAATTGAGATTGGCCAGCAGCAAGTTACTTCAAAGCAGGTATTAGACGACCAAACCCTATTTTCAGAAGAGGACACAGATCCTAATTCCAAAAATATTGTTCAGTATATTGTAAAATTTAACCCCATTGGGGGTGTTTTATAAATAAATAAGAAACGTTATTACTAAATTAATTACCTATAGGTAGTATTTATGTAGGTACCTATTTATTAGAAGAAGTTTTATATTTTTTTACTTTTCGTTTTCAATAATGTTAAATTTTAATTGTATTTTTTTACTTTTCCTTTTTAATAATGTTAAGTTTCAGTTTCTTTTTCATAAAAATATTTTTACTCAGTGATTGCTTGGATATGATAGTGGTAAATTCCAAGTCTTTGTAGCTTCTTCCTGCTGCAAGAAATCTTAACGTGGCACTAAGTCGTTTATGAGGAGAAATGGTTTTTCTCATGCAGGTGTTTTGCCTTTTAATGTACGGAGTAGCAGATTTTAACAAACAGTTGTAAGTTTCAGTGTCCATCCTCAGGTAATTACGCCAATCATCTGGTTCAAGTTCACGTAATAATCTGACATGAGAAAATTTCTGTCGAGAAAAAGAATTTTACGGATAAAAAAAAGAATTTTAAGGATAAAATATAAAAAACATTTGACAAGATTTTGTCGATTGTAATGGTGTTTTGGTATTTTGTTGTTTACAAAAGTATGGAAACATTTTAAATAATATTTTTATTTAAAATTACTTCAGTTAGTGGACAGCCTTAGTGACTTGGTGTAATAGTACTATTTCCAAATACAATGCCGAAGTGCAAGTATTATGCCTTTAACTTTAAACAGAAGTTAGTTGCATTTATCAAAAGGGTGTGAAGCAAATTGATATTTCTAGGCGGCTGGACATCAGAAGGGGTACAGTAAATAAGATTATTAAGCGTTATTTACAAAGAGGGACTGTAGACTCCGCAGATAAAAGTGGAAGACCACGAAAAACTTCCTTAAAAATGGACCACATAATTTTAAGAAAAGCTAGAAGCGACCCAAAAAAATGTGCCTTTAATATTAACAAGGAACTTAAGGAGGAATACTCAGATGTAAACGTTCAGGATGTAGTTCCGTCGCCTACTAAAGGAGAACCTTTATGGTAGACGTGCCGTTAAAAAGCCCTTGTTAACGAAGCGCCACAGAGTGGCAAGATTAAAGTTTGTTAGAGATCACAAAGACTGGACACAAAATCAGTGGGCTTCAGTAGTTTTCAGTGATGAAAGTAAGTTAATTTATTTGGAAGTAATTCTACAGGATATGTGAAAAGGCCTACTGGTCAAAGATTTCACTCAAAGTATTTAATTCCAACTGTCAAACATGGTGGAGGAAACCTGATGGTGTGGGGATGTTTTAGAAAATCTGGTACTGGTCCGTTAGTCAGAATCGATGGGCGTATGGATGCTTAAAAGTATGTTGAGATATTGGAGAGGAACTCGTTGTCATACAAAGATGATCTGCCTTTGTCATGGATTTTCCAACAGGCTGATCATCCTAAGCATACCTCTCGACTTGTGAAGAATTGGCTTTCAAAGGAAAAAATTCGGGTTTTGGATTGGCCTTCTCAATCGCCCGATTTAAATCCCATCGAGAATCTTTGGATGCAGTTAGAAAAGCAAATCAGAAAAAGACAAATCACAAACCGAGAAGATTTATGGGTAGTTTTGCAGGAAGAGTGGCATAAAATTTCAATTGATTATTGTGCAAAGATAATAGACTCGATAGGGAGAAGATGTCAAACAGTCATTAAAGCCAAGGGATGGCCGATTAAGTATTAAAAAAATATTTCAATTATTGATTGAATAATATTTTTTTTTGTGTATACTTTAGAAATGTTTCCATACTTTTGTTAGCCGTTTTTTAGAATAAAAATTTGTGAAAATAAAAATGTATTTTCTAAATATTTCTAAGTGTATACTTATGTTTTTAATGTATGATATTTTATACCCTGTCCCTTAAATTAAAAATAGTATTTTATAAAAAAAATCATAATAATATACATATTATGTACAATATTAAAGGTTTATAAAATGTTTCCATACTTTTGTTCGCCACTGTGTGTATATACAGGGTGGCCCATCGAAAAGGTTCCGCAAGGCATAACGGCCAGGGTAATTTTTTTTCCAGAAAATTCAAAAACACGTCAATTTTGTTTGTGAGGGGGACAACTTTTGCCCCAAAAATGATCGCAAAATCTTCAACCCTCTAAGCGGGGGTGTCATCCCCCAATTTTTTTCAAATGGGAAGGAGGTTAAGTGGTACCGTAATGAAAAGGGCTGTCTATTCTCTATACTTTCCCGCTTCGTTTTTGAAAATCGGTCGATCATTGAGAAAATATGAAGGATTGAAATTTGAAAAGTTTATTTAAACATTTATCAGAGTAAATG